GGCCACTTTAAGATGAGTGGACTTCAACTCCCAGAATTCCCCAGCCAGCCATGAAGTCCACTCAAAGTGGCCAGGTTTGGACAACACTGACATACTGTCTCCAAGGCTACCTCCGTCCTTCTCTACACCATCCAACTACAACTGTCAAAAACTGGCTACACAATTTCCCCATAGTTTGAAAGAGCAGACAGACAAAAGCGATCATCTAAGTCCTGACACAGGCTTAAAATAGTTTAAAAATAAAAGACTCCCCGCCCACTTAACTCAGGAAACTGTGAAACTTCCTGTCTCCATTCAGGTGCAAGAAATGGCCCAGCCCCTCTGTATCAGAACTTCAGCCCTTTTTCTCTGAAACAGCATTAGGCTACCAAGTGGTTGCTCATCCCTGCAGTAAGCCAGTTTGTTCTAATCACAGTTTGTGAAAACAGCCACATCGCTTGCGTTCTATTGTCACTACAACCTCTAGAAATTTTAAAAGGGGAACTCTGGAATCTTCTTTTTGCAAAACAATTGTTAGCAATCCTGGATTGCAGAGCATAGTGGGAAAAAAGAGAGCAATGCTAGCCCCCCCACTCCCTTAGGAAACATAAGCAGGGACTCTTATCAATGATTGGGAAATGTGGTAATATAAATACTTTAACAAGACAAAATGCAAATTTCTAGCTCAAATGCAAACTGTGCTTCCATCTGCAATCAAAGCAGACATGTCCCTTACCATGTAGGGTGCAGAAAGAAGGAAAAATATGGTCATTACATTTAGCAGAATGAAAAAGAAATGAAGCATTTGCACGCGGCCTCTGCAAAGTAGGAAGAAACTGGAATCTACCCACAGTGCATTCAGAACGGCAATCCTAGAGTTGCTTTGAGGTCTCATAGCTCAGCTCTACCAAAACTTCCAATTCTTCTTCTCTGCAGTAGCCTAACTGCCCATGACCAGATCCAATTTATTTTAGGCTTCACTAACTACGGACACCTGGTTTCAACCGTAACTCCTGGGTCCTGAGACCTCTATTACTTTACTACTATGTCATGGCACAGAAAGGTTTTCCTCCCCCCTCCTCAACTTATCTTCTTAGCATCCTGCATGAAGAATTCTACGTAACTCAAAACCCTGCATGTTGCTCTATAGGCATGGACTAGAACAGAGATGTTGTATGGTATCTGCAACTTTGACACTGGAAAACTGTCCAGGCCCTTCAAATAGCTTTTAGGGACTAAGGTCAAAGGCATGTTGATATGCCAATGGAGCTGCAGGCTGGTACTCTGGGTTATGGTCTTCCCCTTCCCAATGCCTTCTTTGGTAACTGCATTCGTGGCTTGGGCAGGCAGTCGGCCAGCGTGCAGCCAGTCTTTCTGTCCTGCGCTATTCCCATCTCGTCTTCCCAACAGGAAATCCCAAGCAAAGCAGGAAGTTGGGTCTGAACTCCAGCTGTGCTTCCTCTTCCTTTGGCTCAAACAGGAAGTCTCATTGTCTGAATTTCAGCTGGGCCACAGCAGTTAGCCAAAAGGCATAACCTCTGTTAAAACGATACCCAGCAGAGTTCTTCCTTCCCTTCCTCTTCAGAAGAATAAAGCTAAAACCTTGGTGTATTGTTAGATCTCTCTGTCTCCCGATAAATACATTATGGAGAAGAATGGCTGTATGTCTGAAGCTTTTTTAAAAAGCATCTTTTCTTTACAATAACCTAAAGCTCTTTGGTAAGACATGAGGAACAAAGGACAGAGCAACAGGATGGGCAAAAAGACAATGGGAATCTCACTAACACCATCTCCACTCCACTCTCCTTTGCTAGGACCCTTTTGACCACAGTAATCAGACAGGCAGAATTCTTTGCCTTGTTTTTCTGATACTCTCAGAGCACTGACCCCCAATTAACAGGATGTCACATTTGCTTCATTGCACTAGCTATGCTGTGATCGATTCTATGCCCATGATCTTCGCTCCCCTCTCCACTGCTCTGGAAATGTGCTCTGGCACCTAACAGAAAGCATCACGTTTTGAGAACTCCCATCCAGCTAATGGGATGGGCTTCAAATATTTGCCTCCCGTGGCTCCTGGTTCAGAGTGGGCACAAAGGTCTCCATGCTTGTAGAAAGCAGAAGGATGGGACTTTGACTTCTGCTGCAGCTGGCCCAGAAGACTTAGGACCTCTCTCCTCTCCTCTCCCCCTCCCCCTCCATCCAAGCAACTTTGAATAAAAAAGCCAATTAATTGAGAAAAAAAGCACCAGTCCTTGTTCCTAGGAAAATTTCAACAGGTCATGGAGAAAGTAGGAATAGAGCCAGGTTAGTCTATGGGGGCAAAAAATCAGGAATCTGGTAGCACGAAAGCTTGTGCCTTTTAATAAAATTTGTTAGTCAGAACAGGCACTGCCAGACTCCTAATTTTTTGATCACGGAGAAACAAAACTCTAGCACTTACGGAGCAATATTTGCACAATTGGCCCTAGTAAAAAACTGGGTGGGATGGAGTTTTGTTTTCTTCTCCCCATCCCAGCGCCAAAGATACTTACATAGATGTTCTGTATTTGATGTCGTCCTTCTCAGCCAGCTGTTCGCAGCTGAGGTTCATGTGCTCCTTCCATAGGCCTTGGCATTTTCTGCAGGTTTCCTGGAGGGTGAGGCAGAAACATTAAGCTATGGGAACACACCAGAATGTTTGCTTATTATTTTTAAAAAACTGAAATTAAATAAAGGTTATCAGTCAGCGATGCTGGAGCGAATCCTGCCCTGAGCAAAGGGCTGGACTACATGACATTTAAGGTTCCTTCTATGATTCTATGAAGGCAGCACTGGTGGTTTTTCTTTGGATTGGGGTGGTCAAATGATCAGCTGTATTATTATGCAAACCCTTGAAGGAGTTTCATAGGCAAGCTTCTAGTTTTTATAGAAAGATACTTGCAGAGGTGAGTTCTCACCCCGGTCATAGCAATAGCTGGCATCTAATCTCCTTTCTGTTCTGGCATCTACGATTCCATATGGCTTAAGCTCTTCACCATAGCACTAACAGCCACAGATATTTCCATCTCGTATCTGCATGGATTTATTTATTTAAAATGCCCAAATGGTTTACCTATTGATTTACACAAGGGCAAAAAAAACCCACCTCCCAGGATGGCCCCAAAATACAGCAGTCCTAAACCAGAACTTCAAAAGAACTGTTGCCTTACTGGAAAAGTTCACTGGCATTAAAGCAATTCAAGAGACAGATTTAAAAAAGACCAATTTACAAAAGAAGAAAAGTCTTCACTGACATTGGAAACACACTGGATTCACTGGTAAGTCACAGACTGGCTAGAACTACGGCAGGCCGAGCAAACTATCATGGCCTGGTTCATACCATGCTAAGCCATCAGGCATAACTGGCATATTACAATGGCTGGATTCACACAATATGATAATCTGAAACCACCAAACCGCATGATGGCTTAATGCAACTTGTGGACAAGGGCAACTCTCTCAGGCAGTGAGGGGAATACCCAGAAAGCATGTTCTTCCAAGTCACCTCCACCTCTGAACAAGGTACCTGGAGAAGGTCTTCTGAAATTCGATCAAGATCTGGGTAAACTCAGATGGGTGTAATTGTAGACTTTTGGTGGGGTAGATTTTCTGGTGAGGCACCTTTCTATTAGAGGTGCTCCTTGAGATACATGGCATCAAATGCAACTGGGGCGACAGGAACCCCATCTTTACCTGCTTCTCTCATATGCATCTATTGCTCCTCTTCGAAATGCCTTTACCTGTAGTCTAACAAATCAGAAAGCATGGAAAAGGCACACAGCAATGCAAGCCTGCTTCAGGTCCCTTCAAGAAGGTCCACCTATCACTGTTCCCTGGGCACTACAGTAGACACCTTTGTGATGAGCAGGGTAGCAATTCCCAGAATTCCACCAGCAGCACAGCCTTGAAGCCTCCAGATCCGGAGCGTATCAGGCTGGAGATTTTCAAGTCAGGGCTTTGCAAAAGGAGCGTGCATTTATTACAAGCAGCTGAATGCTTATGCTGCAAGAGGTGCAGAACATCCCCCAACCATCTTAAATTAGCAAACCCACACAGGAATAAATTGCTGCCGGGTAACCTTAATGTTGCAAGGTTTCCATATATGGCTGCCTGAGACAGGGGAAAATGACACCATACCTTGACAAACTACTAATTTTATCAACAGTTCCTTCCTCTTCGAACACGTATCACTTCCTCTGGGGAGGGGGGGATGGAAGTAAATTCACACTATATATCCTGGCCATTTACACTCACTGCGTGCACCATGATTTAGTGGCCCCCAAATTCTAAGTCCTTCAGTCCCGAGTTCTCTTCTTCTAAATCAAAAGCCATTTAGGGCAAGTGTACCATTACTTTTTATACAAGAGGGGATTAGAAAATTATATTTCCAGAAGGAGGATGTGCACTGGTCCCTAGGGCCTGCCCTACCATTAGGGTCAGGCAACAGACCAAACAGGATGAACTGGGATCAAAATCCCACCTCTTATCTGGAGTTGTTGCATTACAGCCACTTGATATCCTCCAAGATAGCATTGCTTTTAAGGAACCCTTTGGATGTCACATTGGGTAATGCCCACAAGGGCTCCTGCCATGCACCTATCATTATACATAGCCCCATCAGACCAACACATACAGGAAGTGAAATGACACTGTTGTGCCACCACGAAAGGGCGCACAAGAAGCAGCGCACTTCTGGCATGGCGGGTCTCCTCCCAATTCCAGTGGAGAATCTTCTCAGCCTGGACTGGTCTCAGACAGCGTGCTGCTTGAAGGAAAAATCCAAATCGTTCCTCTCACCCACGTGAATTAACCCAGGTAGTCTCATCCTTTGGGAAGTTCTGCACAAAAATGAACAGAAGCCCTTGGCACCAAGTGAAGCTGCCACGGTTGGGTGCTCTGCCTTGTTGACAGAACCCACCTGGGCTGTGTTTTCTCATAGCTTCCTCCCTCTCTTTCATCTCCACAAAAAAAATCAGCGACAGAGGAAAAAGCAGGACTGTTGTACACCCCCTTTGACTGGTAGCACTTGAACCTCCGAGGGCAGCCCTAAGGAATTCTTTATCACCTCTACAAAAAAAAAGTTCCCTTCCTCTGGGGTGAAATCAACCATAATTGAGAAAGAATCGTGTTAATTAAAGCTTGACAGGGTCATGGAAGAGGGGCGGATAGTGTTGCCTTGAAAATGGGCTTTTATTTTCATTTGCACGTTGAAGGGGTCTTCTCCATGCAGGCATCTCTCCAAAATCTCAAAGGATCCTTAGGTTTTATCAAACATCTTAGAGCTCAACTCAATATTGTGATATTGAAACGAAGTACAAGCCTTTTTCTCTCACCAACCTTGCCTCCAGCCCACGCCAACCACTACAACGTATTTCTTTGCCCACCAGAGATTACCAGCAATCTATGCCTTTCAACCTATGGATTCTGGAAGAGGGATCACTGAGGTCTTTCTCTGAAGAAGAACATATTCTCCAGAACCTCAGAAGAACATCTTCCTTGCTTTTATAAAAACAGCCACCCAAAGGACGAACTCATTCAGCAGCAAACATTGCCACCTTGTGGCTCAGGGCATCACGGACACGGCCCTTAACTCCACCCCACCTAGCACCAGGCTGTAGGGCGATAAAAGGAGGAAGCATGTTGTCAACAGCTGCAGAGTGGAGGAAGAGGAGAGCCACGCCAACCCTAATTGCTTTGGGAAATTATGAATGTTGACATGAATCCCAAAGCTGTTGGGGCTGGAGGGCTTCCATCCACAGGCAATCCAAGGAGATTATGTACACCGGTCCTTGCAAAGCATCAAGAATATGGCATGATTACCACGAAGCTCTAAGTAACGGAAACAGTTGAAGGCTTTCATTGGGCCTGAAGCCTCAACAGGCTATTTATTTTTGCATAATATCTATAAATACATACCTGATTAGTTTATTCATCTGGTGGAAGGGTGGAGGCAACCTTTTAAGTCCCCCTATTTGCATGGCCAGTCCCAAGCATTATATAAAGAAAAGTATAAAGGAAGTGTGTACGTCAAGCAAAATTGTTTAACAAATATGCATATTTTTGAAGATGCATATGTCTGAGTCTTTCTCTCCCTCATGCTGATAATACACGCATACACACACACACACAATTATAGCTGGAAAAAATGAGATACCAAATTGACAAAATCATCTCTACTTACAATATAATCAAACTAATCCATCGTGGTACAAGCTTAAAAACAGATGCAGAAAGCAACATGGAAACTGGGGGGGAAAAAAACCAGTTTAAAAAACTGAAACAATGCTGAAAAATAAAGCTGGAGAAAGTATTGTAAAGGGTTGGGGCCATTACAAAGAAGGCCCTGTATCTCCAGCCACCCATGGGAATGATGGGAAATATAGTCCAGCACAACTGGAGGAGACTAGATTGGGAAATGTTGGCTTGTGGTTTTATAAAGGTCAAACCAGCATTTTGAATGGTATTGGAAAATAAGCCTGGCACCCATCCAGATTTTTCAAGACCTATAATGAAAGCCATGTGTCTTATAACTGTGATGTGTCTAGTTCAAATTTCCAAACTGTCGTTACAGACAGCCCAAAAGCAATGCGTCCTAGTATCCTAACTTGGACATTTTCAAATTTGGGATAAGAAAGACCGAACCATGATCTCTACTGTGTTTGTGAATCAAAAGTAGCAGTGTGCTTAACTCTGCTAGGCAGATGTATGGATTAAAAGCCTCAGTAATTGTTATGGGTTTTCAAGAGAAAAAGGTACCTGGTTAGACTTATATAGCTGAAATAAATATAGTTCATGACCTCAAACTTTTAAATGAGCATAAACCAGCTTACTTTGGGGTAGGTAACTTAGCTGCAATTTCATTCATTTGATATCAGGGGCACCTGCTGTTACTGCTAACACACTATCAGCCTAGGCAATGTGAATCTTATAATAGCTTGGAGATTTCCTGAGCCGAAGTAAATAACACTAATCCAATACAAATGGCAAATTCAACACCCAGTGTCTAGACCTCCCACAGTTATGCCAATGGTGGTGAAAATAATTATCACTGAATAGAGTTCAACTAAACTTAGCATCCAGGAAGCATTCGAGAACTTGCAGGAGGAAACCCAAACTGCTTAGAAAACCACCCCAGATGCAAGACAAAAATACACTTTTCCTCATCTGAGAACTCACTTTCTCCCATGATTCTTTCTGACCGGCTTGTGGGGGAAAAATAAGGATTAAAAAAAAAATCATATACAAAAAAAGACCCGAACTAAATTCTCATCCAGTCCCATTATCAAATCACAGCTCGTCAACTTTACTGCCTACAGTGTGGAGGAAAATACTGAAGTTCCAAGTTCTCTCCACATATTAAGGCCTCAACTGAACAGCATATTGTTTAAAATTGCACCTGATGCCTTTCTATCTTGTATACTTTGGCCCCCAGGGCCCCCATCTTAGACCACCCTTCAGATGTGTGGATTTCAAGTCCCAGGATGCTCAGCAATGACCATGCTGGATGGCCTTTGCTTTACCATCTCTTCCTACGCTCTCAAAACCCCCAACAAATTTGCACGGTGTCAGCATTTCCCATAAGACAATCGCTTCATGCATTAAAATGCCCCA